TCCTGGGGTAAGGTTTGTAGCAGTACCAAGGTGGCTCTACCCACTGTAGAAATGGCAAAATCAAGGAGAACAGAGTCTACATTTTCTAATATGACTAATGATTCTGGACGCCTAAAATATTAGGTGTCCAACATGAAAACCTTAAAGTGGCATTATTTTCACAGGACAGGTACTCAGCACTTAAGTTGGGCACACAAATCTGTTTTGAAAATGTAGGCCAATGTGTTTATTGTAGCAGAAAACATGCCAATGACAACACACAGAGCTGTTTCTCAAAAGAGGTCTGCCAGGGTTAGTATTTCTTTCAACACCTGGGATACACCACTTATTAAAGCCCCTACTTCAAACTTTTTCAGAACCTATATGAAAAATAAAAATTAAAAAAAATCTCCTTTAAATAGAAAAATCTGTATATAAAAGCATTTAGAAACAATTTAATTGTTTTCTTTAAAAAAATCCCCAAACCAAACTTTGGAGTCTAAGCTCTTTCGTGTATGGGTTAGCCCTGACTTCCCCAGAACCATTAATTGCCTGGTTAAATGTAGTGGACAGATGGAGAACCACAAGATACCACAGCTGAGCTAGGAGGCCTAGGAAGCCTTAGGAAGGAGGGTTTCTGGGCTGTGTGACAGGTTTCCTAAGGCTTCCAGATTCCACAGTGGAGCTCTAGAGTTTCCTCCTACAGAGTTAGGAGCTTAGCCCAAGCAAGAATCAAGATTTCCAGGCTCCTAGCAATGTAGGAGGGACCCTTTGTCTCTGATTGACATCTGTATAGTGAGGCCCAGAGCCAGAGACCTTGACAGCCCTGGATGTCCCCACCAGTTGGCCAGGTGAGCTGTCTGAAAACCAGACAGCTTTCAGAAAATCTGCCTGTGCTTTGTTACATGTTTGTCAAAATCAGCGTGTTCCAATGAGTTGGCATTTTCTAATGAAAAATTGCTTTAACAAAAAATTTCTGACTAGCTGTAACTCTGACCCATGCTTTTCTCTAGTGAACCAATACATTGGTCAGATATCGGATCGGTACCGATATAAAGAAAACTGGCTGTATCGGAAATTGGCCTGATGTGGCCGATCATTTGGCCGATAAATGCTTGTGCATGTATACAGCCACAGTGCAGCACACAGGCAGTGAGGAGCAGAGCCTGGCAGCTTGAAGAGCTGCGTGCAGCTGGTAAGTCCATTGTGGTGGAAGGGAAGGGGGAAGGGAAGGGAAGGGAAGGGGTGGGGGGGGCCAGGTCAAGGCCTCTGCAATGAGGGAGGGGGTGGGAGCAGGGGCAGGCACTGCTCAGCTGGGGCAGGGCAGGG